TGCGTGTCGTATATTCATACATTAACTGTGAATGTAGTACAACTTTAACTTAACAATTTGAAAATAATTGCAAGCTGGTGCTGGTGGCTCACGCCTGTAATCCTAACTACTCAGGAGGCAGAGATCAGGAGAATCACAGTTTGAAACCAGCCCAGGGCAAATAGTTCCCAAGACCCTAACTCAAAAAAACCCAACACAAAAAACATGACTAGAGGTGTGACTCATGTAGTAGAGCGTGTGCCTACTAAGCGCAAACTAAGCGCAGGGCCAAGAGTTCAAACCTCAGTACCACAAAAAAAAAAAATAAAATAAAATAATTACAGGCTCATAGGAAGTTACAAAAATATTTCACAGAGATTGTGCGTATCCCTTTTCTGTTTCCTGCCCCAGTCTTACTATTTTATGAGTGTAGTATATACTCAACATTGGTTATTCTGAAGACCATTCAGCAGTTCTTCCATGCACTCATTTGTGTATAGTTATGTGTGAGTGGCCTTGCCATTATCATCACCTACATAGATTTCTGTAGCCGTTGCTACAGTAAAGACATAGAACTGCTCTATCACCATCAAGAAACACTCTTCTTCTTCCTTTCCCCTTCCCCCCTTTTCTAGTCCTAACCAACCACTAATCTCTCCATCTTTATAATTGTCATTTCAAGAATGTTATATATGTATGTGTCGTAGGCAGATTAAGTAATTAGTAAAGAATAGAAATTTATTTTTCATAGTCCTGGACACTGGGAAGTCCAACATCAGGTGCATTTGGTGACGGCTTTCTTTCCATCCCATGGTGGAAGATGGAAGGCAAAAGCAGGCCAAAAGGAGAGATCATGTGCACACACACACACACACACACTTGTGAGAGGGGGCCAAATTTACCCTTTTATAAGGAACTCACTTCCCCAGTAACTAACTCACTCCCATAATGATATTATTCCATTCGTGAGGGCAGAGCCCTCATAGCTTAATCAAAGGCCTACTTCAAACCATAGCAACATAAATTTATGCAGTAGGATTTTTTTTGTGGGGGGGGGGCGGGGAGGACTGAGGTTTGAATTCAGGGCTTTGTACTTGCAGAGCAAGTGCTCTACCACTTCAGCCACACATCCAGTCTGTTTTTGCTCTGGTTATTTTGGAAATGGGGTCTCACAGACTGTTTGGATTGGCCTCAAACTGTGATCCTCCCAGTCTCAGCCTCCTACAAAGCTAGGAATACAGACATGAGCCACAGGTACCCAGCTCAGTATGAAGTCTTTTGAAATTGGCTTATTTCACTTAACATAATGCCCTTGAGCTCCATTCAGGTTGTTAAGTGTGTCAATAGTCATTGCTTTTAATTGCTGAATAGTATTCCATCTTACAGATGTACCACAATTTAATTATTTTGCTATTACAAATAAAGCTGCAGTGGACAGGTTTTCATCAGGACATAACTTTTCAGTTCTCTGGGGTAAAGACCTGGGAATGATGCTGGATTATATGGTAAGCATGTGTTTGGGTTTTAAAGAAACTAAATGGTTTTCTGTGGTAGTCGTACTATTTTACACTCCCACCAGCAGTGTAGAGCTGCTTTTTCTGCATTTTGTATGAACAGATATGTACGTAGTAATAAGTCACGTGGGTTTTAGCCCTAATGACTGATGATATTGAACATCTTTTCCTGTACTTAATTGTCATTCGTATATCCTCTCTGGTGAAATACCTGTTCGTGCCTTTTGCTCATTTTCCAATTGGATCCTTTGTTTTTATGTGTTCCAGATACAAATCCTTTGTTGGGTATGAGATTTACAAATGGTTTATCCCAATTTGTAGTTTGTCTTCATACTTTTATTAGGGTCTTTAGAACAGAAGTTTCAATTTTACTGAAATCAAATTTTTGGTTTCATTTTTAAGAACTTTTCACCTGGCCCCTATGTCTGAAAGATACTCTCACTTATATTCATTCTCCCCCTTCTTTATACTTTTATGTTTTACTTTGAAATCCATGATAAATTTTGAGGTTTTTTTTTTTTTATATATAAGGTATGCTTAATTTTTTGGCCTATGAATATTCACTAGCTGCAGCACTATTTGTTGAAAAGACTATACCTTTACATTGTCATATAAATTTTAGAATAAGCTTGTTTTTGTCTACTAAAAGTCATGCTAAGGGGTGTGTGTGTGTGTGTGTGTGTGTGTGTGTGTGTTTGGACTGGTGGTGCTGAGGATCAAACCCAGGCCTCACACATAAAAGTCATGCTAAGTTTTGATAGAAATTTCATCAAATTTAGAGATCATCAGAGGAGAATTGACATCTTTCCATGGATTCTTTCAGTCCAGGATTGAATTGTGTCTCTCCCAAATGCATCATATGTTCAAGTCCCCAATACCTCAGAATATGACCTTATTTGGAAATAGGGTCATTCCAGATGTAATTAGTTAGGATTGGTCAGATTGGAGTAGGGAGGAGTGCCAAATCCAATATGACTAATATCCTTACAAAAGGAGGAAATTTGGACACAGAGAAAGGCACACCTAGAGGGAATGCTGTGGATACTGGAGTGATGCCGCCAGAAGTAAGTTGCTACCAGGAGCCAGGGAGAGGCCTGGAGCAGCTCTTCCCTGTGTCTTCAGATGGAGCTGGCATTGCTGGCACTTCAGCTTTGAGCTTCTGTCTTCCACAATTCGAGACTGTGGAATTGTGTTGGCTAAGCCCCTCTGTGTATATTACTTTGTTATGGCATCCCTTGCAAACTAATACAGGTGTTTATCTCTCCATTTATTTGCATCTTCCTCAGTTTCTTTTTGTGGTACTAGGGTTGAAACATAGGGCCTCCTGTTCTACCACTTGAGCCATGCCCCCAGCCCTGGATCTTTCTACGTTGCTCCCATTAGCACTTTATAGTTTTCAGTAAACAATTTTGTTTACTGATTTAAAATGTGTACAATTTCAGTACACATTTTGTTGGATTTTTACCCAAGTGTATTTTTTTTTAAGACAGTGTCTGACTATGTAGCCCATGCCAACCTCAAATTCCTGGTCCTCCTGCTTCAGCCTCTTGAGTGCTGGGATTATAGGTGTTTGCCACTATGCCCGGTGCATTTTTTAGTGATTATGAATGTATTGTTTTATTTTCATGTGTCTGTATACAAATAAATGTGTGAGGAAGTAGTGCTGGGAATCAGGCTAGCCCTGTGCTCCACCACTGAGTTACACTCCCAGTTCCTGCTCACATTTTTTTGTGTTGACTTTTTCTTTGGCAAATGAAGTGGGAGAGTTTGTTGAAACAGAAAAGTAGCAAACAGTAGAGCTCCTAGAGCTGTGAGGGGGCCCTAAGAAAGGGACCCCCAAATTGTTTTACATTGTTTTTTCTCTACTGTCTTGCCTTCTATATTACTGTTTCCATTTCTACTAGCTTGATAGTTAGGCATTCTTTTATTATTTAACTTTAAATATTATAATTTGTGCCTTTGACTTATAATTTTCTAACCAAAATAGTTACTTCAACCACTCCCTAATAGTACTCCTCTGACCCCCCCCATCTTTTCCATTTTACTGTTATGCATATTAATTTTACATGTATTTTATATGTATCAAGATTTTTGTTGGCACGGAGAATGTTCATTTCTGTCTTCCCATATATTCATCCTTTTTGTTGCTCTTAATTTGAGTTTTCATTTGTCCCAGTTCTTTGGCTGCTGCCCCTAAAAGTTTGATTCTCAGCCTCTTGTCTTACCTGGGTTCAACAGATGCCTTGGTGGAGAGTGGCTGCACTCAGCAGGCCACCTCTGTACTTCCCCTGCTCTTTGAATTCTTGGTCCCTCTGGTGCTTTTGCATTAGCAGTTTTTCAGTAGCCTTAAATAGTTAACTTAAAATGTTTTTTTCTCTCTTTTAAGTTGTTGTTGATAGAAATATTGGTTCATCACAGACTATTTCATCATACTTGAAAGTGATTGTCACATAGTTTATTGCTGTGTATTAGTTATCCATTTTTCGTTTGACATCAGCTTTTTAAAACTGATTTCTTGATTTTCTGATTGTACTGTGTATAAGAGGTCTGTGGAAAATGTTATACGTCCACATAGAAATAAAGTAATTGATTCTTAATAAGAAAGGCCTGGTGGTATTATTTCAAACCAGTTCAAATTCAGCGGTGACACAGTGGAAAAAACATCCAGTAGTTAAAAACCCACACGCACATTTTTTGGGATACTTGATTTATGCTTATAATGGTTATTTTAGCATGATTTTTTATGTTTGGGACCACTCACTTTTTGTTTCCTTAATATCAGGTTGCAATGTTAACTATTTCTTTGATTTCACTTTAAAGAACTGTTTAAAAGTTTGAAAAAGTATGTAAACAAAAATAAGATATTTAGCCAAAGGTGAGAGGACTTTCCCCAGTCCCAAACTCTAAATAACTGCTATATATAACTTTTTCCTTTCTCCCTCCCTCCCTTCCTCCCTTCCTTCCTTCCTTTTTCCCTCTTTCCCTCCCTCTTCCTTCTTCTTTCTCCTTCTTCCTTTCCTGAAGAAAAACGTAGACTTGAAATACATAAAAGAAAATTAAAATCCCTTATGATCTGACCACCAAGCTGTAAGCACCAATCACTCCTTTGAGCTTTACTGCATATCTTTTGTGGGGGTTTACCTGTGTAAAATGGGTTGTATTGTTATTAGCGTTTCTCAGCCCGCTTTTTTATTAGTATCTCCTGTAACATTTAAAATACGAATATAGATTCTGGGATATACTTTGGACTTAGCCAAATCAGAGTCTTCAGGGACACCACTGAGAGGGTTTTATTTAAAAAAACAAAGCTCTTCTTTAGAAATTTTAAATAACCTCCAGAAGTTTTTTTTAAGATGGCAGTTGAAATATCACTATCAAGTGCTTGCCTTCGCATGTATAAGGTCCTGGATTTGATCCCCAGCACTGCAAAAGAAAAAAAAAAAATCATACGAACTTTAACTTATATATAGCTCTTTATCTAATTATTCAATTTTAACTTTTTCCTAGCCATTCCACCCTATGGTGAATCTGGATTGTTCTCGGGATTTCCGGCCATTTCTTTGTGCACTCTATGCTCCTATTTGCATGGAATATGGACGTGTCACACTTCCCTGCCGTAGGCTGTGTCAGCGGGCCTATAGTGAGTGTTCAAAGCTCATGGAGATGTTTGGTGTTCCTTGGCCAGAAGATATGGAATGCAGTAGGTACGAAAGTCACAGATGTTCATGGGTCATTTCTTATGCTGCTGTATGTGTGCAAACACTTGTCTTCTCTTTCGTCCATTTTAAAAAGCTTTTTAAACACTAATGTGTGTGTATGTGTATATAGATACACATAAAATATTAGTCATTAACTTTGAACAGCAGTTTCATAGTCTCAGAATTTTCTAAAGAATTTTGAAGAATGAAATCAAAAAAGAGGAAAAAAAATTCTTAATTCTTAAAAGAATTAAGAATTATAAAATTAAAACATTCAGCTGATTTTTCTCCCTTTTAAAAGTTTTTTCCTGGTTATAAAAGTAATGCCATTCATGAAAAATTAGAAAATACAGAGAAGAATATAGTCATTACAGCCGCTTACAGACCTTAAATTTAGATGTGTTAATGACTGAGGTTGTGTCATTTCTTTTTTTCTGTCCTATATCAACACACCAAGTCTAAAAAATGTTAGGTGCTTTTCAAATCACATACAGTATATACAGACTGTAAGCATTTCCTTAAGGTTTGAGGATTTGTTCATTAGACATTCTTACAGTTTTGTATGGGTGAGAATTATTAGTAGTAATAATACCTTTATTACAGGATATTGTACCTTTTTCTGAAATATTTTAAGGATAAAGAATAAGGTGAATGCCCATGTACCTATAATTACCAGGTTTTCTCCAATCTTAGTATTTTGTAGTGTTTGCTTTCAGATTTTGTTTTAAGAAATAAAACACTAGAGTTGCAGGCTTTTTGTTGGTTATCCATGTGGATGTTATTATCTTCTTTTCAGAGGTAAGGTAATCATTATGATAAATTTGTTACTCATGTTTTGTTTTATACATTTATTTGTATATACTCCATAAACAATACAAGTTTTTTTACATGTATTGATGTTTGTGTCTGTAGGTTTTGTTAATTTCTTGTAATTGATTATTAAAAATTAATGTCCTATAGTGCTTTTTTTGTTGTTGGGTCTGGGGTTTGAACTTTTGGGGCTTTGCCTTTGTAAAGCAGGTGCTCTACTGCTTGAACCATGCCTTCAGTCCATTTTGCTCCAGTTATTATGGAGATGGGGGGGTCTCTCAAACTATGTGCCCTGGCTAGCCTCAAACGTGATCCTCCTGATCTCAGCTAGGATTGCAGGTGTGAGCCCTCAGTGCCTGTCATATAGTTAAATTATTGTAGTATCCTGTGCTTGTTTAACCATCTTCTACTGATGGTCATTTAGTTGTTCAACGTGTTGTTATAAACAAAATCCATTTCTCCTTCCCTTTTTTTTTTTTTTTTTTTTTTTTGGCAGTACTGGTGTTTGAATTCAGGGCCTCATGCTTGCTAGGCAGGTGCTCTGCCAACCCGCTCCGTTTTTAAAAGTAATTTTGTTTGTGGTCTGACAGTGATAGCTGGTGGAAGGATGCTTGCTATGTCCTCACGTCAGAAAGTCAAGAGAGCAGGAGGGTGAAGTCTCTCAGGCCTCTTTTACTAGGGCATTAATCCATGCTTTCGTGATTTATCACTTCCCCAAAGGCCCTATCTACTGACATCACCACAATGAGGATTAAATTTCAACACATGAATTTGGGGGGACATTCAGACCATAGCATCCACTCTTCGACTTTATGGACATACTCAGATTTTTTTATCTTTTTTTAACTTCAATAATCCTCTTCCTAATCTATTTATTTATTTAGCTTAAATGTTGTCAGCTGTCACTTGAAATTACACTTTGTTAGCAACTTTAACTCATTCTTTGCACTGTATATGTTCAAGTCTCCAAATGGAATGGCATACCCAATTTCTTGCAGTTAATCATGCTATATATTTAATGATTCTGAAAGAATGGTGATTCTGTTTGTTATTTGTAACTATTTGTCTTGGTCTGGAAAATTTCTGTTCATTCCTCTCAGCACCTTTGCCAAATCTATATCATTTACTTTAAACTCATATCTGACCTTTATTCCCCTCAACCTCAGCCTCAAGGGTTTAGACCTTCTTGTGTGAACTGCTGTGATCTGCTGTACCTGACCAATCCTTCTCAATTTTCTTCTCGGATCTTCTTTCTGTTCCTCTATGTTGGTGCTTCCCAGACTTTTTTCACTTCCTGTTCTTTGATCTTGCAGCTTTCCCTGGAGTCTCATCTCACTGATGTTAACTCTTAGTTATATACTGATGACTCCTAACTCTAAATCTATAGCCTTGATATCTCCTAAACTCCAAACTTTCATAACCACTAACCATTGGAAATCCTAGCCCAAATTTATTTCAAGTACCTCAATTTAAACATAACTAAAATTGACTTTATTCCTTGCTTTTTTTATTCCTTGGAAATCATCTTCTACTCTTATTTCATTTACCTCAACTCCCATATCCAATCAATTATAGATCCTGTTGCTTCTATCTAACTACATTCATCAGTATCTTATTTACTGTTTTTATTTATTTTACTAATTTATTATGTGCCATCTGATCTCTCTGCCCCCATTTTCACAGTGTGTCTTCCACACTGTTATCTTTTTTGATTACTTGGGCTAGGGTTATATGAATGCACTCACTTAATATTCATTAGTTCAACAAATATTAGTTGAATGTCTTTGGTGTGTTAGGCATTTCTAGATGCTAACGATAAAGCAGAGAACAAAATGAAGTCCCTGTTCTTACGAACTAGAATTCTAGTGATGGTGACAAGTAAATAGTTAATGTGAGTACATCACTCAGTTTTTTTCATTGCTGTGAAAACAAGTTGGAGGAAAGATTTATTTTGGCTCAAGATGTCAGAGGTTTCACTTGAAGATTTCTGAGCCTATGACAAGGCAGAGGATGAGTATCATGGAGGAAGGGAGTGTAGGTTTTGATTGCCTCATGTTTTATCCTGTGTTTGTGTTGTGTTTATAAGTTTGTATCTCCTTCTGGACTCAGATAGAAAACTTAGGTTTTTTGGTTTTTTGGTGTTGGAGGTAGATAGTATGTTTTTATATCTTTGGACTCTGGCATGCTAAAGGGTTCCAGTAATACTTGAGTGCAATAAACTCTATAGTTTAGCTTTATAATTTCAAACACTGTGAAGAAAATGGTTTATTTTAGAAAATAAAGTTTGAAAATATTAATCAGCAATGATTATTCATGCATATGGCAAGCTTAACATTACTGATAGTTTCTTAGAAACTATTTGATGCATATAAAAGAGTAAACAGCTCGTTAGTGGGAATCTGAAGACTTAGATCTGATGCAGACAAGAAGATTGTAGATGTAGGGAGATTGTGAGAATGATGTCCTTATTCATGTAAGTTTGTCTGCTACATAACTTTGTTTTCTTTGTTTAGAGGCTATTACACTTTCTTGAGTTTATGGATCGTTTCTCTTTGGAAATTTGTTAAAATACAGACTTCTGACTCTTAAATATTTTGAAATACGATTTTTGTTGGTAGGGACTGAGAATTTGCAATATTTTTGTTTGTTTTTGTTTTGTTTGAGACAGAATATAGCCTAGACTGGGCTAGAACTAGCTGTGTAGCTCAGGCTGGCCTCAACTTGACAATCCTCCATGCCTGTCTTGAGAATTTGCACTTTAAAAATATTCCCAAATTTTATGTTCATTTTGAAAATAACTGAATTAGACAATACAACAGGTTAGGGAGAGATCAGGGATGGGAGAAAAAAGCTAGGTGATGTTAGAGATCTTAGAAGCCATTTTGCCAGTAAGGTGAGCAGAGAGTGGACTGGGAGTACAGCCTTGTGATAAAGCACTTGCCTCACATGAACAGGATCCTTACTTTGATCCCAGCACTAGACAAAAAAGAAAAAAGCAGAGTGTGAATGTGGGAAATGGAAAGAGAAGGTCTGAAAACTGAGCCACTTGTATGGCTATGTAAAGCTAATATAACTCGCAGATCTTTGGATCATGCATTTAGGAAATATAGGTTTGAACTTTTAGCTACTGTTCTGTTGGATCTATATAATTATACCTATATATTTTCATATTTTAAAATTATACTCTAAAACCATGTGTTCTAAATAAATGTACTACATATACTTTTTTAAATTGATAGCCTGTGTTTGACTATTTTAATAGAGTACTGATTTTAAAGGTAAAACAAAATTAAGTTTAAAGCCATGTCATTTTTGGGTCAACTATGGGAAATGTGGTTGTGTGTTCATAAGCAAGATATCACCACGTACTTTATTCTTGTTTATCCAGTTGCCCTCCATGGACATAGGAATAGGTTCAGTCACGGGTGCTACATTTGGAAGGACAGGTTGTACTGTGGCAATAGGTTTCCCTGTAAGTGAAAGTGGTTCTCATCTTGTTTCTCTTTAGGTTTCCAGATTGTGATGAACCATATCCTCGACTCGTGGATCTGAATTTAGTTGGAGATCCAACTGAAGGAGCCCCAGTGGCAGTGCAAAGGGACTATGGTTTTTGGTGTCCCCGAGAGTTGAAAATTGATCCTGATCTTGGTTATTCTTTCTTGCACGTGCGAGATTGCTCACCACCTTGCCCAAATATGTACTTCAGGAGAGAAGAACTGTCATTTGCTCGCTATTTCATAGGACTGATTTCAATCATTTGCCTCTCTGCCACGTTGTTTACTTTCTTAACTTTTTTGATTGACGTCACAAGATTCCGTTATCCTGAAAGGCCTATTATATTTTATGCAGTCTGCTACATGATGGTGTCATTAATCTTCTTTATTGGATTTCTGCTTGAGGATCGAGTAGCCTGCAATGCATCTAGCCCAGCACAGTACAAGGCTTCCACCGTGACACAAGGATCTCATAACAAAGCTTGCACCATGCTTTTCATGGTGCTCTATTTTTTCACTATGGCTGGCAGTGTATGGTGGGTAATTCTTACCATCACATGGTTTTTAGCAGCTGTGCCAAAGTGGGGTAGTGAAGCTATTGAGAAGAAAGCATTGCTGTTTCATGCCAGTGCATGGGGCATTCCTGGAACTCTGACTATCATCCTTTTAGCGATGAATAAAATTGAAGGTGACAATATTAGTGGCGTGTGTTTTGTTGGCCTCTACGATGTTGATGCATTAAGATATTTTGTTCTTGCTCCCCTCTGCCTGTATGTGGTAGTTGGGGTTTCTCTCCTCTTAGCTGGCATTATATCTCTAAACAGAGTTCGAATTGAGATTCCTTTAGAAAAGGAGAACCAAGATAAATTAGTGAAGTTTATGATCCGGATTGGTGTTTTCAGCATTCTTTATCTCGTACCACTCTTGGTTGTAATTGGATGCTACTTTTATGAGCAAGCTTACCGTGGCATCTGGGAAACAACATGGATACAGGAGCGCTGCAGAGAATATCACATTCCATGTCCATATCAGGTAAGGGAAACCTTGTTACAAATTTCAGAATGTATGATAGTGGAAAGAAGGCATGTTACTACAACTTGTACATTAAAATCTTAGACTGAAGATAATTGACAGATATATTGTAGAGATATATGTTTGTATAGAAATCTTTATTTTTAAAGGATCATTTACTTGTCTAAGCTGTGAGCTTTTAAGCAAGTTATTTTCATTTTCACTAAACAGTTATTGATTCTTTAGATGTCAAGGTTTGTGTTGGGGGGGAGAACACTGTACTGTTCCACCTCTAATAAAAAGGGACTGTCTTGTGGAACTTTTACTGATGGTCAGATTAAGAATTAATTGAATGAAAAAAAAAGAATGGTTTTGCAAAAATAATAGATTGAAGAATAATAGAAATTCATGCAGTCTTGGTTTTTTCTTGTTTGTATGCTGAATATTTTGTGATGTACCTTTGAGTTTAGTTTAAAAGAGGTCAGAGCCTCTGATAGTCATAGAATTACAGAGTTTTAGATTTAGAAAGAACTTTAGAAATCATTTATTTGGATTCTCTAATTTAAAGGTCATTGGCATCCATCTTACTTGAAGTTTAGAAATATTAAGTGAGTTGCTCATGCTTAGTAAATGACCAGCTAGGCTTTGTCTTAGTAGGACTGTAGTTAAGGAAAATAGTTTAGAGGAATTGGTGCTAAGTATTTGTCACTCACATCTTAAAACCTCTAGAACATACCCTCTAACTTCACCCTCTTTTCCTTCTTAAACAAGTTCTCTTGAGAGTATTCCGACTTGGTTCCCTCTATTTGTCATATTCCAGTAGCCTATTTTCAGGGTGACCAGCCACCTGTTCATCTCCCCAACCCTTCAATACTTTATTAAAGTACTTAAGTGCTATAAATCATTATTGTTCACTAGTCCTTCTCCCCTACTAGTGAACTTTTTGCAAGCAAGGACTTCTTTTTTATTTTTATTTTTTGAATACATACTTTGTAGGTTAGTGAATGATAGCAGTAAGAATGTGGCTGTGTAGTTGAGAAGGGGCATTTTTAAGAAATGGTACCAGTGGTGCTAGAAATGGTACCAATGGAATATAGGGTTTTCACATGGTTAATACATTCATTGACTAAAAGTAACAATTTCCCATTTGCTTTGTGGTGTAAATAGTCCAGTACAAATGATATTTTTATCTTTGTCATAAATAATAGCTACTGATTTTTTAAAAACTAACTCATAATTTAGAAATCAGACAAAAATTAAAAATTGAAATTCTGTTAAGTTTCTTGTCTCTTAATTCAGACCTGAAGGTAAATGAATTTGCCACACATGGTGAGAGAAAGAGGTGGCTGAATTCTATCAAATGCTTCCTTGTAGAAGTTACCTAGGACTCAAAATATATATTATTTTAGGACTCCGGGAAATAATGTTTGATGTTGAAACCTGAAACATGTATATTGGATAGTTCTATGATTCTTGTAGCATTTTTAGAACCAGCTTGAGCTATGCACATATATGTATGTATATATATATATTTTTTTTTGGTGCTGGGGACCAAACTCAGGGCCTTGTACTTGCCAGGCAAGCGCTCTTTCACTGAGCTAAATCCCCAACCCCTGTGTATGTATTTTTTATACTCATAGATTAAGAATTTTTTATGAACTGTTTCCAACATAAGCAAGAGAGTGTGAGAACAGCTCCATGTCTCATTTTCATAACTTATGAGCTTTATAACCTTGGGCCAATTTCACCTTTCCTTGCTTTAGTTCTCCTAGCTATTAGTTGAGGTGGGGTCTCATGAACGTTTTGCCGGGGTTGGCCTTAAACTATGATCCTCCATATATCCACCTCTGAAGTAGCTAGGATTATAGACTTGACCAACTAGAAATTTTTTTTTCTTTTTTTTGGTGGTCCTGGATCAGGATCAGGCAGGCACTTTCCACTTGAGCCACACCACCAGCCCTTTTTTGTGTTAGGTATTTTTGAAATAGTCTTGCCTGAGCTGGCCTCAAACTGCAAACCTCCTGTCCTGATCTCTGCCTCCTGAGTAGCTAAGTATGAGCCACCGACACCCAGCCACTAGAATTTTTTTTCTTTTTTTCATAGTACTGGGGCTTGAACTCAGGGCCTACACCTTGAGACACTCTACCAGCCCTTTGTGTGTGTGTGTGTGTGTGTGTGAGAGAGAGAGAGAGAGAGAGAGAGGGTTTTTCTCAAGATACAGTGTCTTGCGAACTATTTGCCTGGGCTGGCTTCAGACCACAAACCTCCTAATCTTTGCCTCCTAAGTAACTAGGATTAAAGGCATGAGCCACCAGTGCCAGGCTAGAATAATTTTTAATCATAAAATGTTAATTTTTCAGGTACTTGGGGACTTTTCTCTTCAATAACAATTCCCTCTATTTAGTGAATTTGAAGAAGCTTAAAGCACTTTATAAATTATAATTCTCAAAGCTATAGATATTCCTAGAGTAGCTTTTGAATGTAATAGAACATATCAGTTAAAAACTGGCTTTCAAGTTAGATAGGTTGGGCTTATACCCTGTCTTTACCATTTCTTCATGTAAAATGCAGAAAATGGTGTTTTAAATACAGTAATATCTACATATGAATAGCTATAAGACTAAAATTTAAACCTCTTCCCAGAGTGCCTTGCATAAAGTAAAATTTCACTGTAACTACAAGCACATAGTTGAGATTTGAAAATGTGTCATCCCTGTAGTCTGCACTGCTGTCATCAGTTTTTCTTCTAAATACTGATTTTCAAAAGCACATGTTTTCTTTCCTAATGTGCCCTTTTATTTTTTTCATCTCTTTCATCCATGCATCTCATTCAATGTAATACATCCCAAGGAATTTTAACACTAGAACTTTTGTTTCAGTAATAGAAATATGTTATCATAGTACACACATCTTAGCTAAGTGTCACATTCATATTAGAGACATTTGTAGAATTTTAAAAAATTATTTTCATAGAAAAACATTATTTTGTTCTTCCAGCTACACAAGGCAACCATCTGTTATTTATCTAGTCTTGATTCAGAAAATACAAAAACAGCAATCTAATTTGTTATGATTTTAGCTTCATTTTCTGATAGGAATACTTCCCTTTACCAGGCAGTTCCAAAAGGAATCAACATTATTTATGAAAGAACCATGAAGGAAATGGGTATGTTTATGCTTCCATCATTAGTGCAGTCAATAATTTGAGTATGGAGTGCTACCAGGAAGATCACAGTTCAAGGTTAGCCTGGGCAAATAGTTCACAAGACACCATCTCCAAAACCAAATCTACTGGAGTGTTACTCAAGCAGTAAAGTGCCTGCTTTGCAAGCTCAAAGCCCTGAATTCAAACTTCAATCCCACAAAATAAGTAAATAAATAAAGTCTTTGGATAGATATTTTCTAGTTCTGGCTATATCTCTATGACTAGTTTGTATCTTTAGGTTAGTCACTTAGTTTATAATTTCTTCAGCTTTAAAATTTTGCATGATTAGATTGAGTAATCTTTGAAGTTTTTCTCATGTCTAATAGTAAATGAATCTAGAAACTGTTTTTTCCCTTTCTTTAAAAAACTCATTAATTCAAAACCATTTATTATATATCTACTATTCTGGCATATTGGTATTTGCTGGGGAAGCAAGAATAAGATACAGTTCCTGTCTCTATCACTATGCTTGAAGGTGCTCATAACCTCATAGAAGAAATAAAATATGGAGAGCAGATAATTCTGTGACTCAGCAAAATTATTTTAGAGTTCTTACCATTTTTTGTTCTTTTTAAAAATATGGAGAGGTTGAGGATATAGGTCAGTAGTTGAGTGTTTACCTAGCATGTGCAAGGTCCCCAGCACCACACACACACAAAAAAGAAAATGCAAGCATTAAACAAAGAACATACAAACACTAACTGCAAACTCAGGAACGACCACTTTTGCCTTGACAAAAACCTTATGAGATCATTTACCCTGCGTGAACCTGCATACATTTTTTCAGCTCCACCTGGGCAATATTATACCCAACTCTTGAGTTTGAGGAGGAAGCTCAGAGAATGTAAGGGAGATGATGTTTTAAAGACGTGACGGGCACAGATTTCCCAAAACATGCTTAATCACATCTGTGAATAAATCAGGTGCTATGCACTCCTAGCACAGTAAATAAAAATAAATCTACATTTTGGTCAAACTGCAGAATACAAAAGACAAATCTTGGCAATAATCTCAAAAAAAAAAAAAAAAAAAAACCCAACAAAATGACTGCTGAGTCCTCAAAAATTAAACCCAGAAGATAGTATGCTAGTATTTTTTAAATATCAAAAGAAAATAACTTTTCAACCAGAATTTTTGTACCTTGCAAAACTATTGTGGCAGACATGGAGATGGACTGCTAAATCCCCTCAAAGGAAGATTTGCTCCTTGGATGCAGGGAATGTGGCCAGCAGACATCCTTCAGCTGCAGAGGGCTGTGCTGAGGTCATGCCCTTCTTGATGCAACCTGTATTCAGCCATTGTTAAGTGGACTGAAAAGGCCCAACGTGGGACACTTCAAAGGTCATTTTTTGTCCAGAGCTCAGTTTGGTAGTCTTTTTATTCATACATGACAGTTTGATTTCTTCCTCTGCCAGTCCTGCATCCCATCTCTTTCATTTCCCTCACAGACGTTATTCTCTAATAAGTACCTTGTTTCCACATTTTATCTCCTGAAGAACCCAACATTGGTTTCAAGAAGAAGGTTGAAATAAAATGATTTTCCAGTAATTCAAAAAGTGAACAGAAACTGAGTATTCACCACCAAGAAACTTGTACTAAAGGAACTTCTAAAGGTTATATTTTAAGAATGGATGATCTCAAAAAGATGCAGGAAATGCAAGAGGGAACAATGGAGTTACAAATATAAATGCAATTAATCAAATGTTTGCATAAAATAGGAATAGTCATGTCTAACTTGGGTATTTAAAGTACACCTAAAATGTGGTAGAATAAAAAAGTGAGAAATGTGCAGTTGACCAGAATTGTACATTCTTAT